GTCGAGCGTTCAATAACCGTTTCCGATGGTTTTTTTCATGAAAACGTTTCGTGTAATGTGTCAATTTCAGATACGTCCACGGCAAACACACGCTCGGTGAAGAACCACTCGCGAAAATGAGCGCGGCCGTAGAAAACGGCGTGGACCCCTCGAAGCCGCGCGGCGGCGTTTTCTCGAGGGCGTTCGCCAAGCGTGCGCAGCCCTACGAGGAAGGTGAGTCCGACGACAGCTTCTGGTCACTCTCGGGCAGGTTGTGGTGTTTCCCACTCTCCCTCCCTCCCCTGGTGCTTGGGAAGATAAACATCGTGCTATATAGGCTTCAAGCCTGGTATCCGCCATACGAAGTTTCCGCCGGAAATTCAAGGCACTTACGGGCTTATCTTGTAAATGACGTCAATCAAAGTTGTAGGCAAAACATACACGGTGTTCCGATGCATCATACAATTACAACTTATTAATTACCGTGTAAATTATTATTTATTTGAGTATATCGCGTAAATACGTTGTCGCTTTTAGCACGATGCTACGTCTTTGTAACTTGATCCTGTGTCACGTAGTTTGATGGTAACGCGTCGCGACACTTCACATATACATATATAATGCATCACATCCTGTTATGACTTTTATTGCCATGTACATATTGCTCGTGTCTACTTCGGCCTGCGCTACATGCATTCTCGCGACAAGCTCGATATGTTTCCAGCGGATAATAACCAATAAAGAATCTCGCTTTCACTGAATAGACACTGTAACATTGGCGCAAGCCATACATCAGGTTATTCCTTGTTGCAATCTGCTCCGACCTCGATATATCTCCGATTGAGTATATCGATAGAAAAGATGAAGAAGAAATAGAAAATCCTCTGTGCTTAAGAGCTTTTGAGATTTTTCCAATTTATGGTAGCGACAATAATATAACGTTTCGTGTTTCGTCTATTTTTTCTTTCTTAATATTTGAGCGACAGATTCGTACTTTATGTAAAATGAATGATCTTCCGTTTTGCGAGAGCGCGGCGGAATAGTCTGCATTTATGAAGGATCACCCCGGCGGCTCCCGGGGCTCTACTGCAGGTGCGCCGATTCCGCCGTAACTCGTAGCTTCATACTGCCGTAGAATTCTGCTCTCTAATTGGAGAGAGAGAATATTTGCCCCGCTTACACTTCGCTTGTAATTCAAAACATCGCTAATCCATTAATCCTGTTTCCAGTGCGCCGTGTACGCGCCGCTCGCGCTGTACGGAAGTCATACCGGTAAACTACGCGCTCTGCCGGATATATTACATATATACATTAAGCACAGGGTTAATTCTGGTACCTGTGTCTCGAGGATTACGAGGAATTCGTTACGATACGTCAGCATTAAGATGCGCATCGTGCAATCGGAATACGTTTCCACGTTGAATGAATTCCACGATGGTTGTTAAAATTTCCGTTGGTTATTAACGCTCCGAACATTTCTGGACGTTAACGTAATAACATTTAAACAAATTTCAATTTTACAACAAGAGGGATGGATTTGTCCGATACAAACCGGCTTATCAAGTCAAACGTCGTTAATTTTCCTGCAAGATTTATGCTATTCTATGCTCCTGCGATTTAACTTTCATTGCTTGTCAGACCAGTCATTCATTTTCGTCGACGTCGAGAAAGTTAGAATTGCAAGACGTGATAGATAGCAGATCCAAAAGGTCGTAACACACACGCGTCTCGGTTGTCCCGGAAGTCGGAATGATACGTGTCGCGGTTATGATTTGCGACCGCCGCGTTGCATTTTAAACGCGCACGCGAAACGAAATCTTAGCTTATCATATAATGCATTATGTAAATACCCGGTGTAACCGTCGACGCTTCACTTCCATCCGATATCGGCCGACGTATTCGCAAGTACTCGATTCTTTTGATATATAATTACGGGCTGCGAGAGATGTTAAACCAACGTCTCCCGTCGTAAAGCATCCCTTTACCGTTCCGCAAACGGAGCGCTATCGAGTATCGCTTTATCTGCACCGAACGCCATAAAGGGGCTCCTGTTTCGCATTAGCCGGCCGCGCGACCTCGATGGAGTTCCGAGTCGGTGTAAAAGCTCATAAAGAATCTCGCTTCCGACACACGGGCGGCGCATAATATCGCTGCGCGCCCGTATATCAGTGCGATCCCGCAACCCTCCCGCTGCGCCGCGCCGAGGAAACGACGGAGGCGTATCTACTTCTCTCCGTGTTTGCGGTAGACCTATATACCCCCGACCTGGTACAGGGCCATCCAGGACCACATGAGCTCGCTCGTGCACTTTGACGCGCGTACACCGTTACAAATCCGAGGCTATAGGTGTGCGCGAGGCGAAACGCTACAACACGGCCGACCCCCGTCGTATCGACATCGCGCGGAATATTTCAACGCGGTCGCCTACTTTCGCGAGAGCACGTTTTCGCCTCGCGTTGCACGCGAGATTTATCGTTTCGGTGGCTCGTGTCGACGAGCTGATTCATTCCGCACTCGCCGGCTTCGCGAGAGCGCCGTAAACGCGAGTTTGGGAAATTTATGAAATAAACCGAGTCAGTTTGACGCCACTTTATGATTTAATGATTCGATGACGTGAATGTTTAAAACTTCTGAAATCTAACGAGCAAGATATTTTCTTCACAAAAGCTGATTTTTTTTTAAGTATCGGTTATTAAATATTTTAAAATCCATTACGTGTATTTTTTTTATCTTTTGCGAAAAGTATGCTACGAACGATTATGAACGTTAATCTTTAATGCGGAAGTATGCAGTGTTTAATCGGGAATCTCCGACACGAAGCACTACCGAGTTTCCTTCTTTTAGTTAGGGTAGTAACGATCGCGCGAGATTATTCAGTAAGGACGCTCGACGTTTCTGATGTGAGAGTGCTTCCTGCTGTGTTTGAAGAACCGCTACAATCTCGAGATCAGACTTCCGTGAAGAAAAGGGGTCTTTACCGATCTACCCATTCGAGCAAGTTTTTTTCTGCTCATCAATCGACTTAAAGATGACAGACAGAAATCGGAGCTGACGCTTATCGCAACCCGTTTAATCGAAATCGAAAAGATTGTTGATTCTGCATTTTCTTCCATCTAATTCGTAAACGTATAATGTCAAAATTACTGAATATTTATATTTTAATTCATGGATATGTTTTATCATTGTAATTTAAACATTTTTATTAATATTTACTTTTAAAAAAGATGATAAGACAAAGATTCTCAACATTCCGCGTAACGACACAACCAAGTTATCTAATTTTTTTGTTTACTCTAAAGATATTTTCCACTCCAAAGATATTTTGTAAAGTTGAATTTCTCTCGACCTTCGTGGGCGAAAAGCAATTTTACGACTAGTCGTTTCTCGTGATCTAGCGATAATACGTTCGTTTTCCAAGGGTTTTGCAGAACGCCTGAGGATCTTGCTCGGAAGACGTTCGGCGATCCAGGATTCGTATCTTATCGGCAAGAGAGACCTTTGTCTTCGACTTGTTATCGACAAACAAGACTTGTCGATAAAACATGTTTCTCCGGTCCAAGTTTTCCTCTGTTCCAGCACAAGCGGCAGTTTAATTGCGTTTAATTGCAACTCCAGCGAAACAAATAATACTCTAATCGCGTCGGGTTTGTCCCCGATGCCGTTTCCGTCGCGAGCGATTACGCGACAAAACAAGCAAGCCTGTTTCGTGCTTGCGTTAAAACTTCGTAGCTTCGTTGGCGCGTTCAGACGAAAAATCGTGCGCGAGATTAAAACTGGATTAACGGTAAACGTCATTAATTTATTACCAAGTAGCAGCGGTGCAAAACGCGCCGTTAATGCAATTATACCCTTTCGCGTAGCCCACGATTAGCCTTGGGTGATTTAATATTTTCCGATGAATTCGCGAGATTTCAAGCCGGCAATTTTTGTCCGTATTGCTCAATATAGCGTTAATTTGAAAATCGTATCCCCTTAAGCTGCCGTATCTCAATCTCGCTTAAAGTCAAAATGCATTTTTAATGAGACTATATAATACATACCTCCGTCGTGTAGTTTACGGATCCGCCTCGAATTTTGCTTATGCCACATCAAAGCCGACATCGCATCGTCGACTACATATGCATCTCACTAAATTTGCGTTTAAGCTAGCGCGCAGAGTTCACGTATTTTCCGGTATTATATAATTTCACCGCCTCTCCTCTCTATCTCTCTCACTTTCTCTCTACGGGGAAGGCTGATGGTTGAGGATGCACCGTTTCGTATTACCGTTCTCCTTTGACGATGGCTGTTTTAAAAGAGCAACAGAAAAACTTTTAAGACACAAAATTATCCCATCCGCGCTACGCAACTCATAAACTTAAGCTTATAATTTCATATGAGTTCGTAAGTATATACAAAATGGGTCAAAGCACAACATCACGTGCTTCCATCTTTTAAAAACTCTACCGCGAAGCACGTAGCTTCTGTGCGATAGCACGGAAGCATCGAAGGCGCGTGTCTATCCCGCGAGCTTACTCGGGCACCTTTGCGAAACGAGCTCCTCTCACGAACTTGTCGATAACAGTTTGGCAACCTGGGCCTTTCCACCACCTTCGCGCCACGATCATCGACTACGGGAATTCAATTATCCCGCCGGTTCGAACCAACGGCTTGGGTGAAGATAATACAAGACGAACGAACCGGGAGACCGGCCATTTTGGTGGGTCCGGGGTTCGAGAATTCTCTGACTCCTCGCATGTCTCGGATGAAAGGCTTAGCGCAATCCAATGGGCGCACATATCCGTTGAGCACCTTTCACGTGCCAACAATTTCCGCAAAGCTCGGTCGCTTACCGCCTAACCACAATTTGTTACAAGTCCCGAATAAGCTGTAAAACACTAATGCTGATGTCAAGAACATCTCTTTTTGATTTTTCTCTGCAGAACTAACAAATATGCGATAACATATGTTCATGATAACATATTTGTGCTCTTACAATCTGTGTAGTGCATTTGCAATTGATTCTTTTCCTTTGATTGCAGCTCTGAAGACTTTGAATCGTTTGAACAAGGAAGGCGAGGCGCTTGCCCTTCAAAATGACCTCACAACGAACCCCACCTTGGCCTTGATGCGGCGCATCCTTGCAGATGCACAGGTAACGTCTATAAAATAAATTCCGAACGATCTTCGCAATATAAATCTGAACAACATTTAATTTATTCAGACTTTCTGGATACAATCGCGAATACAGTCAAGTGACGCGTAATCTGATAACGCTAAATTCTTTAATAGGAAGATAGAGCTCGGCATAGTTAAAACACGCTATTATAAATCGTCTCACGCAAACTCCATGCTCGAGTCAAACAGCCCCTACGCCAAGTTAATTATCGAATAGATAAGGGGCTGTGCGTATATGCCCATTGATATCGAAATTCATTGTCTACGTATAAAGGGTATTGTGTATTGGCAAGCATACCGCGATCGCAGATTCTGACAAAGCGATTCTTAGTTTTTCATGAAAACGTTTCTTCGAGTAGCACGGATATAATTGCATAATAAGACTTTGATGTTATTAAATGTCACAACAAGTTCTGACTGAAATTGATCTTCTTTCGGGAGAAGATTGACACTTTATTCTTTCTTCTGTAGGATTAACTTTTCACGACGGGAGAAAGAGGCAAATTGAGAGGCGTAAAAAAAAAACGATTTCTATAACTATAGAAAACTGTGCGCATTTATTCAAAGTGGAAACCGACCAAAAATGTTTCTTCATTGTCATTGGTGAGCAGTTCTCTCGAGGCGAGAGGCGCGTGTTGAGATTTTCAAGAAAGCAGGGAACCGAGAATTCGATGGGGTTAATTGTCAGACCGACAGAGGGTCGCCCTATTGATAGTGGATTCCTTTGTTCGCCGCTAACCATTGTTACCTATGCACGCGCGACCCCCGGCTGCGATTTGCCGACATTACCCTACGGCTGCGGCCCGATGTTTATTACGAGGAGAGATGTCGTCGGGGAGAGTTGTTCGCGCTCGTTGAAAGAAAAAAAAGGGGCCGATGGTGACTCGCGCGACGGATTTATCAGTGCAAGTAAAGTAACAAAATAAGGGTTGGAGTGGAAAAAGTGTCCTTCGCGTGATTCGTATGACTCGTGTTTGATATGGGACTGTTTCGTGTAACAACATGTTTCATATCTCGTTACAATCAATACAACTACGTGAAATTCTTACGAGTGGTTTCTCGTATCTAAAAATATGCTAAAATATGATCAAACGGAATAAAACCTGATAAACAGAATAACAACAATATTTCGATAAGATAATTAAATAAAGAGATCTCGAGACTATAACAATTCTTTTTTAATAATTTGGTAATTTTAGTTGATAATTAGACTATACCGATAGCAGGTTTTTGCTTGTACAGCTAATAATTAAACGAAAACCACTCCCGGCGATTTATGCTCCTCCAAATAAATGTAACGAGGGAAAATTAATTATGAGTCAAAAACGGGTACTGTTCCCCGTCTAAAATTGGAAGGTCAAAGTCGCGCGTCAGGAACACGTAAATTAATCTGCTAAAATCGGAGATGTCTACGGATGCTCCAGTAGGTTTAAAGACGGATATGAAGGGCAAAACCCTTTTGTAATCGCTTCGCGGCGGGGTGAACGTCGAGGAGTTACTGTTTTGTTACTGGTTTCCACTTTAGATATCTTTATGATGAAATGCGTAAAGTGTGCTTGCGGCAAATCGCGTACATAATAAGAACAGATAGAGAATTCAAAACTTAAAAATAAAGAAACGTCTGCAAATGTTGAAATAGTCTCAAATACTTTATACTTTTCATTGAGAAAGACGCACAAATTTTATTTATATTTTAATATTGGTTGTTAAACTTAATATTGTGAAAGTTATACATTTAATTGAACTAATTTACGGATTAATTAATATGTAAAGCATATACGTGCCAAAATTTTTGTATCTTGCGTTAATTAAATTTGCGAATGCCTACATAAAACAAACGGCATCCATCGTTAATATCTCGCTGTCTCAGAACAATCGCAATATGTCGCTTTTAATATAAAAATACGGAAACGTATTACCCGATATTGATCACGCTGCACACGCGAATAAAAGGCGAACGGGAATGACCGAACTTTCATTTTAGCGTGTCATTCATTTGGCGCGTAACGCGCGTCGAAAGCACTCGCTGTTAAAAGAGCCGTCAGACTTGTTAATGTTTGATATCATGATTTTCACAGGGCGAATAGATTAATGTTGGCGCATGGCTAATTCCGTGGCGTATTGCCAGCGATATAATGGTAAATTGCAAAACGTTTTATGCAACATAATGCGAGGGATGGAATTACATCACAAACACAGAATTGTGCGTAATTCATTGGAACTTCAATTGTTATCGCGTTATTATCGAATTCGTGTTATTTTGCGGTACACATGTGATACCTTGTACATTAATTCAATATTACAAGCCTTGTGAACACGCAGCTATTTCGTAACGCGTCGGTAGAAAAATTCGCGCGTTTCGGAGCGCGAAATTTTTGGGACGTTCCAAATCTCCATACACACAGATCCGGTAATGGATATATTCCCGACGGGAAGACCTCGCGGAAGAGACGCAATGCGGATTATAGCTAAATCACACGCGACACGTCGCGCATAAACATGTTATTCGACAAATAGCATTCGGACGTGGCGGACGTGACAATTTCGGGATTAATGCTATCAAATTGATGGCCCGCAGTTTGCTGACAATGGACACGCGTACGGTGAAATTAAAGTTGGGGGGCCGCGTTTGCGTCGCGCAATTATAACGTCATAAAAAATCGCGGCAATTTGTATCCGGTGAGGTAATATAATGCGAGGTGAGGTGAGAACATTATCTCGTCATGGATTAGCAGAGAAATTTCCTGTAAAATGACCAAATATCATGTATCAATTACCTTACGTTAATTACGGATGATATAACGCTATACAAAATCGGATATACAAAACACAAATATGTAATTATCATTAATTTAGGTGTACGTTATAATCACTTTAATATATAATTGGAAAACGACACGAAACGCACCCGGAGTGAATAAGTACATTGACGAATTATCTCCTTGCAGAATATATCTCTCATTTATGCGGTATATAATTTCAAATCTCGCAGTAATATTATTATTCAGAAAATCCCCAGATTTTACTTAATTTTCGTTGCATTGAACGATCAAACGTCAACGACCGTGTCTACCTATTTTATGCATCGAAAAATGTCGTTCTTTGCTGCTTCAGCGCAAACAGCCCTTGAAAGCACGCGTTACTGGCGCTTTTGAGTCGGGCATCGGGAAAAGTCGCGCTTTCAATCGCGTCGCCGTTTCCAAAAGATGATCAATCGGCCGCCGCCGAGCAATATCCGGCGGAAGGAGAATTTCCACTCGACGTTTCAAGGCGAAATCGCCCCATTATACCCGCGTTTGAATTTCGATCTTCCGCGCGTATCTACGCGACAGAAACGGAGACCCCGAAAAGAGGAACGGCGGGGTACTGGGGGAAGGCGTACCCGAGGGGGAAAGAGGAAGCTGTCGTGCGCGCCGGTCGGGGTCGCAGGACATATAGAAAAGGAGAAACGTGACGAGGCATATGAATCGGGCATAATGTCGCCTTAGCGTACCACCGCGGAACGGATACGCGCTGACAGAGCCGGTAACAAAGTTTCCCAGCTGCTGGGATACGATCGATACGAGCGATATCACGGAGTTCAAATGCGGCTTCGCTCGCTACGACAAGAAACGTTGCCGAGAATCTCGCGTGGTTGGCGACGGTAAACATCAGAAGGAAAACAATTTATGCAAGCGATACAGTTTCTTGAACTAGTGTGACCGATTTTTTTTTTCCAATATGAAATATGTATATTGAGCTCGCGCCGTTGCGTTCTGCTACCTAAAGTTTGAACGATACTGACGACCGGATGACACACGTCGAGATATCGACGCTTCGGGAGTCTTGCGAAAGTCGTGAAAGTTGCGTCCGATGTCTGGTAATAAGTTCCACACAGTTGATGGCATCGCGTCGGATCGATTGGAAAAAAATTGGAAAAAAAGAAGCGAGCGCGGAAAAAAAACGGGAAGAGATAGGGTGAAAGTATGCGCGTGCAATCGGCGACGTCGAGAGTAATAAGGACATTCCCGAGAGACGACCTTGCGTACGTGGCGTGGCTGTCCTCGCTGATAGAACAAAAAAGTGATGCTCGTATAATAAGAGCGTGTCTACGCAAATTAAGGGGAGAAATATGGCTGTCAGCGAGTGGAATATAAAATCTTTGATGCTTAGATTTTACATAGGATATATATACATGGCAACTCGTGAAAGTCCTTTCGCGACTTTATTTGTATGGAAATGCGCGGAATTTTATTATGTGGAACAGCTTTGTTAACTCTTGCAACCTATTCTTTTTTATTCTTAAACTCTCTCTTTCTCTCATGACTTATTGACTAGGATACGCGGCAAGGTAGCGAAAATAATGGTATAATTAAAAATAGATACACGAGCGTATATTAATCCATGTTGTTTCGGGAATTAAAGTAATGCATCGTATATAATTTCGTATAACAATATGTATATGCGATATAAAATATTTTATCTATAATTCAAAAAAATCGAATTATTTGATTTCCATAAATTATAAGAGAAAGATATATGTAGATACACATATAAAAAGCTTACTGAGCATTTTACAGAAATGTAAAACAATTTAAAAGCTTTTATCAGAAAAATTGATGGTTGCTAATAAAAGCATTTGAAATATTTAAATATATGACAGAGTACTCGTCTCTGTTATGAATATTATTATCTTCAGCAATTAATGCTGAACGTTTTGCTGAAAGCTTAAAACCCGTGCATTAAGAGCCGTCAAATAATCACAGATATCGCGCACACAGATAACAGCCGCAAATGAGAGCGCGCTGCCGCAGCAGACGAAAAGCAACGGGCGGAGAAAGCGGAGAGGATTCATCAAGAGAGAAGGTGGATGCCATTTAACGGCTGAATAAACACCACCGCGAAATGACGAAGAGGGATGAAATGACGACAAGACGATAAGAGAGCCACTGATTTCACATGTGTTTTTCAACCATTCCCGCATCGTTTTACCTCGTG